AAAAACTGAAATCAATCATTTTAAAAGATACAAATCAATTTAGGCATCACAGCTTTATAAGGTAGTATGAAATATGTACATTTAACAGTGTCAATAATGTTTAGTGATCTTAAAGATTAACTTTAAGTGAGTGTTGGAACGTGGCGGTAAAAGTAAATGTTAAAATAGGAAAAATGAGCATGCACAATTAAATATACAACATGGCCTTGCATCAACTGACACTGATAAAAAAATACGCTAGTATCGGCCAATAATAACTTATATGGATTTAATATGTTATGCATTCCTACTTAAAGGAAGGTTAATTCAACTTTACAACTCTATAACTTTGCGGTACATGATATTCACCACATAGACTTTCACTCTCTGTCTTTTCAATGAGTTTGAAATCATTTCCTGAGGCAATTGACATGCTATTGACAGAGCTCAATTTGTTTTCGGAATATTCCTCTACACACAGATGTCAGCTTGTCTACATCATGCCAAACAAAAGCAGGTTGTGTAGAATTCAAGTCAGAACAACTCAAATCAAACCATGCAATGAATTAAATCCCAAACGACACCCTCTGAAACCTGATAAGCCCAAGCATGAGCTTCAGGGTCTTAGATGCTTTTGACAGATAGGCCTACTAATTTGCCTGTTTAGAAATATTTAGCCCCAAAATGTGTAACATTCTTCTCTTCTAGCTTTAACCATATTAAAACCTTGGCTAAAATCAAAGGGATTGTTTTCAGCCTTGCAACAATGCAGTCTCTAAAAGCCTGGGCTGCCTAGGCGTAGTAATTCAATCTGTGAGAAATCCAGGAGAGGACATCTGTTCATTCTGTGGCACAGCGGTGCCCTGCTGACATAACAGTGTTGGAGGAAATTAATCTAGAAGCTCAACTAGATCCTCACTCTGAGGGACCAATCAATCTGAAGAACACAGTAACCTTTTCTCAGAACACTTCACTTTGTGACAGATGCTTGATATAAAAACACATGCCTATGTTTTTATTAAAGATATTAGTCACCACCTTTAGTGCTGTACATGTCAGTGTTCAAAATTCTTTTCAGAAAGAGGTTTCTGAAATACAACAGTTACAACAAGACACAAGCTTTTAATCTTTCAACAACAAAAAAGACCATATTTGTAGCTTTCATGTTCATGGCCACCAAGACCAAGTATTGGACATGGGTCTGTGTGCATGTAGGAAATGATGTACCGATAATAATATTCAGGCCAATATTGATAATTATTTTAACTATATGGTCGATTTAAAATGTTATACTATATTGATTATAAAAATGAAAAAAATAAAGTTTTAGGCATCCCAACATTATAATGTACATAACCAGCTACTAAGGATTAACTTAATAGGACAAATATCCAATTAAATAAATTAAATAAAGAATCAAATATCTGCCGATATATCTCTAATATGGGATAATACCCAAAAACGTAAAAGCATTAGTTTGGCCAATAACTGATATGAAACCAATATATCACGCTTCTCTTGGTGGCACGTCCTCAAGAGGAGTTATAACCGATATAATTTTTTTTCTACATTGCCGATGCAGGTTTATTAAACTGCCCAGTGTAATAAAAAAATGTGCCTGTGTGTACATTTTTGCAAAATGGTATTGCGTTCCTTGTAGCATGTTTAACTGTAGTTTAAACAGTGACTGGCGCTAAATACAGTCTTCCATTTTCTTTATAACAGTTCAACATGACTCTTATTACAATGGATATTTAACGCTGTTTTAGTTCACTTTGAGCTCTTTTATCAAGTGACGAGACTCTCGTGTTTCGTGAGACTTGTACCTGAGCTCTCTGCATACCAGGTGAGCTACCAAGCAAATTTACCAAGTCCAAAAAGAAATATATAAGGAGCTGGTTATGTAATTCAAACGTCAAAATGTATTAGTTTAAAAATTATGCACTACGGTAAAAGTGTTTTGAGGTCATAACATAGTATTGTGCGAGCAACCGTGCAAAAATAAACTTTATTAATCAATAATCTCATCACGGTTATCATAATTTGTGTAAAAGGGAATAAAAGTTGTTGGTGCTTTTAATGCCTCTAGTGTTCATTTCCGCTGGAAACTGAAATGTATAGGTACGTTTTTGCACGTTTTAAGTATTTACAATAAGCCTGTGTTGATACTGTCTAAGAAATTACATGAAAAATGTAAATGCAAAGGCATAAATATTGGGAATCGCAAACCGATTCCTGTAGGGCAAGAGGAAAAGTATTTTCAAGTATTGTGTCGACTACAATGAATCATATCACATTCTAAGGCCTGTTGCGCACACTAAGATATTGTACATGCTGCACAGTCTACTAAAGAGACACACGTTATTAGAGAATAAACAACTTTGTCCCAATCAGACATTCAACTCTATTAACATCAGCAATAATACATCACCTTTTTCACTGCAGTATTTTCTACCAAACTGTCCATCACCATAGGATCATACAGCAATTGAAGATTCTTTGGTCCGAGTATCTGAAAATATGGTGCCGTCACAGTTTCACAGGACAGTGCTTGATAAATCAACCCAGTGATAGAATAAGACCGGACAGAAAGCAGGTCACCATCTGCCTGTCTTACCCAGAGTGCTGTGCTCTCGAGGACTAGCAACAGACTGGTTCGCCTCTTTGCAGTGACATTAAATCATCATCACTTTCGGTTTGATTAGTAAAACAAAGAGATCATATTGAGTTGAGGTGCACTTCCCAGCGTCATCGAAATAGCCTAATGAATAATGACTCCTTTTACAGGTCACTTCATATCATTGCCACCCAGAAATGTCATCTATTATGAAGATATTTCATGCAGCCCACCATAATTAATCTTAGACTTAACTTGGCACACAACAAGTTTTATAAATCCATATTTCAACTGTAGAGGCATAACTACACATTCTGTTCACATGAGACATCTGAAATGGACAAAAAGCAATTCTGGTCCAGAGTACATATGTGCTCTTTCAAGCCCCCTTTTTAAACACAGCAAATTATCAGTATCTGCACTTTATGTAAAATGTATAACCCCTGCTTCCTTGTGTTACCATGGTAACAGAATCGGGAAGAACGGGATACCGTTTCTTCCTCCTTTGAGTAATAAATTCCCACACATTCACCGCCCACACCTGTCTCCAGATTAAAGACCAGGAAAACCCAAACGACTACAACAGCTGTATTGTGCGTTATGATCAAAAACGGCAGCAGCTTAAAAAGTGCTATGGATTTTGGATGGCAGCGGGTGTTGTTTTTCTCATAAATCAGCTGCTTGAGGAATCACCTCGAAGCCTATAGGTGACCATGATGGTTATTTGAGTTGAGCTGTTACGTGACAAACCACACCGAAACAAATGGTGGGGAAAAGGGCTGGTGTGAATATGACAGGAAACAAGGACATAAAACAGCCAGACGTTACCAAAACATTTCCTTGCACCTGTCCTTGTACTTGGCGTTTTACTAAGACTGTAAGCAACAATTACTCTCTGACCTTAAGCAGAGCAACACATCAGACAGGGAGCGGAGGAGACTTCCAAGAAATCATTTACAATGCCAAGAACATGATTGCGAGCAGAAAGACTACTCATAGTAAACACTTGAAAGCATAACAAAGCTCAGATGCTGGTAGTGTGAGAGGAGAAAAGGGTTCAATGTCTTTGTTGACACAACTGTGCGGCTCTTTTCCAAAAGCTTCTTACATAGAAATGCCATGAGTGTGCAAAGGCTTTTTTATATTATTACAGTTTAAAATCCAGCTCCTGCTTTGCTCAAAATCTGTGCAAAGACAGTGGATTAAAAGCATTCCCGGGAGTATACAGTGCAGCAGACTTTTAAAAAAGACTCATTTATCTTTTAAAAGCATGTCTAGACTTTTTACATAATATCATGTTCTGTTGGCCAGTAATCATCAACAGATAAACAAGCATTGTATGCACATGCAGTTAAAAACAAAACCTTTTGGGTACAATTAAAGATGACTTACAGAACGTATGTGGAATAAATCAAACACTGCAATAGCTGTCATTCCAAAAAATGCCATTTGTGACCCTCGTATTTGTGTTATTATAGGCATTTTTCTTCAAATATAAAAAACCCCACAGTAATTGAGGATGTCTTTTTGACCTGTTTTCAACTTCTCTTTGCTTTAATAGATATTATGCACATCATAATTGTTTTATATTTATATAGTATATAATTCATAACAAACACTGTTACCATCAACTGTCAACTTCATAACAAATTTATGAAATTAAAGGATAACATGATTATTAGCCTATTAAAAATCAATTATTTGTAAAGGAAAAAAAAGCATATCTGTGCTATGTTTAGATAACATTTATAGCCTAGTTTGAGATGGCAGCGATTTCCTCAAATCTTTACCATTTACTTTAAAACACTTTTTTAGCATAAAAACAAGACCCATTCAGCGGAATGACCGAAACTAAAGACAAATAACAGATAGACAAACCTGTGCGCATTACTGGCTGAGGGAATCTCTTACCAACGTCCAGAGACGCACCGGTTGGTGACAATTATTAAACACAGAAATGAGTTTCAGGCTACTCAGAAAGTGTGATATTACACAACACAAGTCTTGACAATCCAATCTTGCGTTTTAAAGGAGGTGCTTCTTAAGGAAACGTTCATAACTGTCAAAATTGTCCGTTTTGTGCAGTAGTAAGTTGTCGCGTGCTCGGGCGCGCGCGCATGCCTTCAGTTCTCCAAGCTGTTTGTGTACTCCATACACTTTATAAAACACATGTTGAGCGTGGTCTGTTCAAGAGTGAATTAAAATTAACTTCATCTAGGAAGAAAACGCACTACTTTTTGTCATTCCTGCGACACCGCGTGCGTTTCTCTAATATGTTTGCTCGGTTATAAATCAAAGAGAATAGCCAGAACTCCTGTGTATAACTATGTGAGATGGATAGATGTACCGTCCGCACAAAGATGTTTAACCTGTAATAAAATAACAAAATTAATATATTTCTCACCAGTTTAGTTGAAAGAAGGAGGTCTTCTGCGTTTCTGCAGCGCTATTTTCGGTATGCGGTCCGATTATTCTCTTGATAAATTTACATTGCAGTGCTCTTTGGGTTTGCAAACAACCAAGACTCCGACGGATCTATAAATTTACCGTAATGTCGCATATACACAGTATCGGCTCAGGGCTGTCTACCGTAATACACAGAGCGCTCGTATACACGTGACATGCAGATTGCTCACGAACATCTTTATCTTTATATCTTTATAAGTGATTTGTTGAGATTTTCATAGCTTGAACAAGATTGTAAAAATAGTGTGGACTTCCAAACAAGGCTGTAACTGTGTCCTTGATTACAGGGAAACATATTGTAAGGATAAAAACATTGGAAAACATATTGATCAACAAGTGCCTGAGGCAGCATTGCTTCCCAATGCATTTCAAACACCTACTTGTGGTATAGATACCGGTAGGTCAACAAATAGCTTGAACTGCTATTTATGGAAGTCCATTTCCTATAGCCTAATCCTTTGGTAAATCATTATGAAATGAAAAGTCATAATTGGGACATATTAAGTCATAATTTAGACTTTTTATTTCATAATTCTGACATTACAAGTAATGTAAAGTCTCCTTGGGTTCTTGAAAAGCACTATATAAATAAAATGACATAGCCTATTAATTCATAATTATGAGATAAAAAGTTGAAATTATGACACAAGTCATAATTATGACATACTGTGATTTTGAAATAAAAAAGTTATAACATAAAAAGTCAAAATTATGCCATACTAACTCTTTATTATGACATAAAGGTCATAATTATGAGGAAATTATGATATTATGAAGTCATCATTAGGAGATTAAATGATGTCATAATTTAGAATTTTTTTAAATTGTGTGTCATAATTCTGACATACAAATCAAAATTATGACAGCCTACTAAGTCATAATTATGAGCTAAAATCACAATTATGACACTGTAATTATGACACACTAAGTCATAATTATGAGATAAAAAGTCAAAATGATGACAAAAAATATAAATGGTGATATAAGTTATAACTAAATCAGAAATGATGACATAATGTAATTTTTACATAGCCATCTAAGTCATGAGATAAAAAGTTTAACTATAATTATGACATACTCAGTCATAATTGTGAAAAAGGTCAAAATTCTAAACATAAAGGTCATAATTATGATAAAATTATGACAATTATGATATTATGAAGTTGTCACTATGAGATCAAAAAAAATTCTAATTTACTTTCTGTCAAAATTTCCCATTTTTATCTCATAATTTCGATTTCATAATATTGGAATTTTGATGTCATAATTATGACTTTTCATAATTGTAAATTTTGATGTCATAATTACAATTTACAAAAGCATGATTGTTTTATATGTGGCTGAAATGGGCTTCCATAGCTATTTTACAGTCAATCGTGCAATCAAAGGGTTTTTATCAAAGATGGCGAAGAGGTGAATGTGGTTCTCTGTGTTCTTCTGTAAAGGAACTGATGATTTCAGGTGTCCTTACAGGTGAGGAGCGGGTGCCATAAAGATCTTTTCATCGAAATAACCTTGTGCACCTTAAAATACCTCAGCCTGATGATAACTTACAATCCATTTGCGATTAAACAAATCTGCACGTGAGAATTGCTTCAGCTGTTGACTCCGTAGTAAGACAATCTTCCACACCAGAGTAAAAGCATACATTGGCGGAATAGTCTGGAATTAAAGGCAGCCCACGTGGAATTCTGAAATAATCTCATGAGACACCAACCCACACACTCTTTAAACAGAAATGTCTTGCCAACATGATGTTTAATATTTCAACGTCAGTATACACTAGGAAAAGAGAGAGAGAGAAAAACACTCAGCTCTCATTGTCCTCGTTTTCTCAGTTAGGCATGAACTTGAACAATATTATATTAGCATGCCTCTATCATTGTGAGTTTTATTGATAACAGTTTGTGAGTGAAATTTTACTTTTTACAATGCATGTGAAAATCTACTGTTTAAGATGGAAAAAGATTATGAAAATAGATATTAACAGTAAAGCATATTTTCTCCAACTATTACATTCCTAAAAACAGTCTGACGCCAGGTATTTTACTTTCAAATCTATTTATGGGAAACAAAGAAGTGTCCCACAGCTCAGTATAAAAAATATATACATATATTTTTGAATACGTGTATATTAATCTTTATTGGTTCTGATTCATGTCACATGGTTTCCAGTCTGTGTTGACTCATTACTCAGAGCAATTAAACCGGTTATAAGGATCCTTAATGAGAACAGTAATTTGCACATTCTTCTCACAAGAGCTGGATTACTGAACCTAGTGCAGTGTTGAGGGCCATTTCATTTAAATGCCTATTGTTTTGTATTGTGAAAAAAGTTCCGGAAGCAATTATGAAGTAATTTATTACACGCCTAGAGGAAGAAAATATTTCATAAGCTTGAGCTGCGCATGGATTAATGTTTGCTGCATTGAGATTCATTCATTATTTCAGTTTGCCATTAAAAACAGTAGCTTACAGTTCAGTTTCCTTAAAAACAGGCCTATAAAAGCTGGTTGACGCTTTCATATACTAAACAAATACGATTCATCCAGACCCCTAATAGCAATTTCAAGGCTTTTCACTTCATGTAATTCAACTTTTGATTTTCAAGATGTCTGTCAGCTGGAAAAGAATCAGTCATTTTACAGACAGTATATGATCCCAAGACAATTCCACTTAAATTTTGGGGGAAAAAAGAAAAAAGGCCTTTGTAAGAAATTATATCAATAGTTTCCATTCATGAAAACTGCTCGGATAATGAGGACAAATGTTAAATGTGTTGATACTGCAGGCGCATTACAAATACTGAGTGGAAATAAACAACCCTCAATCCTCAACATCTTTCAATCTCTCTAAGGATAGAGGCATTTCTAAATGTCACGTGCAGGCTTTTGAGAATAAATGATATGAAAATCAATGCATTCTCAGCTCTTCATCACATCTGATCTGCTGTGTAGCTGCTCCAATGGTTTTTTTCAAGAGCACTGCATTGCACTAATGAAATCTGGACTGCTTATTCTAGCATGCACTGCCATGTATTCATTCACAATGTTATATCAACAATAGTTCCTGTTATTCTATGCAGAAAATAAACTGGGGGTAAGTACATTTGATCACCAGTGAGTTGAGTCTCACATTTTAAAAGTAGCAGAATTCAAAGCTTTACCTGGAGGATAGATAGGCTGTGCATGAAAACATAATGGCTCTCGTTTGCGTAACGAACGTAAAACTGGGCATTTCGACACAAAACTTTTGATCAATTTAACATTTATCAATATGGATGTGAATGGTGGCTATATGATCAAGTCAACTTGTGTATGCAAGTTTCTGAGTTAGCGTGAATGAAAGCATTATGAAGCCAGACAAGCCACATCTTCATCATTTAAAAATGTGTTGCCAGTGGTAAAATATTCAATTGACAGTGTGCCATGCCTGTCCGTAACATTAATCAAGCATTTTTTTATATTAAAGTATTAACAGGTGTTTTTGGTGTCAGTTTCTCTTTCATGAGATGACTTCCTCTTCTTGCCGAGTTACAGTTCTCCATGGCTGCATCCGAAAACTGAAAAAAGCTGCTTTCGGAGGATGCATTTCAAGGTCGGAAGGCATCAAGGCACGTCCGGATTCAATGTTAGCTTCACTTGCTGACTCTAGGTCTATCCTTCGCTGCCTTTGATATCCCACAATCCTGCACTCTAAAAAATGCTGGCTTGTTTCAACCCAAATTTGGGTCAAATATGGACAAACCCAAATGTTGGGTTAAAAATGTAATTAAAATTTTTAACCCAACTTCAACTTTCACTTTCAACTGTAAAGTTTTTTATTACATTTTTTAACCCAACATTTGGGTTTGTCCATATTTGACCCAAATTTGGGTTGAAACAACCCAGCCTTTTTTAGAGTGTGTGCTTTCCATTCTGGGACAGTTAAGCTAAAAAAGAAAGATGGCAACTGAAAGTTGCAGTTGGTGGTCAGTTTGTGTGTAAATGCACGTTTTTGGCCAACGTTTTCCACATTTTGGATGTCATTTAGCGAGAAATTACTATTGTAGGATTTAAATATTAATTTAGTCATCACCAAAGCTCTCTCTGTTTTGTTGTAGATCATTAAAACATTACGCTGCCTCAGAAATCTGTCTGAAATTTTGTGAGGTACATTCGTGCATAAACGCTGCCTGCGAAGTCATTGGCTGATAGGGAAGCGAGGCAACAAGTCTAAGTTTTCAGACGCAGTCCATGTCGTAAACTCGCAAGGCTAAACCGTGAGTTTATAGGGGCCTAAAATTGAAATGACGATTGCTTGCATCCACAACATTTATCAACGCCCGGTCATTCGTACGATTGATTGGTGGCATACGAATGTTTCATGAACTGTCGTAACATGATTTCTGCACTGGATCTGCGCTCGTTTCTACATTAGATTGATATATGAGGCCCAATTAATCAACAGTTCTAACAAGACTGCAGAACGACTGTCGTTTAATTCTACCACCTACACACATCTGTATGGATTACCCATAAATCTGAGCTCAGAGATGCCTGTTAGATCAATCAGAACATGTCAAGACGGTGCTTTGTTCACTTTGCTGTTCTGTTGTCAAGGATAGTGTTGATTTGAGAGCAGTCATTAGTGGGGTGAGTGTTCCTTCACATTGACTAAACCAGAAATAGTCAGTGAGCTCCCTATATAATGCGAGTGGCTCAAAAACGTAGTCCTTTTACTCCAAAATGGACCCTCCGTACTGCTGATCAAATGAATAGCTTTTAGTGTGCACTGTGCTGACCACCTTTCAACCCGCTTTCAGTTCTCCACTCATCTAGAACAGACTGATCAAATTCAATATTAAACTGAGCTGTGATGAGCTAATGCTAGCTTTGAGTTTGGTCTTTGCAATAGCGGAAAAATAACATGTCATACATTACATGACTTTCAGTGTGTGCATAACATTTTTTTTAAAAATCTAAATATCTTAAAGTAAGCAAATGATGACCATTTTGTTACACAATTTCCAGTTTGATGTATTTATTGACTAAATTAGCATATGTGTATACAGCCTCTTTTAAGTTGTGCTAAGCTATAAAAGCAAG